CACATAAATCTGTGTGCATGGCATGTATATGCATGTGTGTGTGTACAGGAACAAAACTGTACCCTGGTGCAGATATGGAAATGACTCCTGGCATTTACCATGACCGTTTTCCCTTCCCTTGTAGAAGCATCTCACTCCTTGGACTCCCTAGGAGTTTCCAGATCCAGGGGCCTTTGCCACCTCCCTGGCTGGGGCAGATGTGACAAGGGGCTCTTGTCCCATGGGAGACTGCACACACTTACTTGTAGCTCCCATCATCGTGTGTCACCATGAACAGCAGGGACTTTGAAGGGGTGCTCTGAATGAACTCGGCCATTGGCCCGGAGTTATCTGTAGGGGCAAGGCCAGACAGTAGTTCAGAGTCTTCTCAGTGAGTGAGGCTGCTACCCTGGCTATAGGCTTCCCTCCCCCTCTGCCGTCACCTATTCTCTGAATGTCCTACTCCCTACACTGGTCCCAGGGGCTCAAGGAGTGCCCTGGCTACTTCCTCAGGAGTGACGTCAGGGCTTCCATGGAAAGCTATCCTAGAGAAGCCTTGGGAACATGGACAACTTGCAGCAGGTAGGTACTCAGGGCACAGCAAAGGTTAGGTCCAAAGATGGAAACAAGGTAACCCATGCAAAGTGGAAAGTCCTAAATAAATTAAACCCTGAATCTGGAGTTAGCCACACCTGGCACCAAACCTAACTTCTGCAAGCATCCGCTGGCCACCTCTGCCATCGGGGACAAGAGGTCAGCCCCGAGGGTGATGTTCTAGAGTGCAGCGCTCAGAACTGTGACAGACCCTATGTTCGATAAACACAAGTCAAAGGAACTCTCTGCTTCTTTGTCAAGCCATGCTTCCATTTCCCCTTGGGGGCTAGACAGTTTAAGTCTTCATTTTAATCCGAAAGGACTTTTCTTACCACCTTCATACATGTCAAAGTACTTTGTTGCTATCACTTTTCCTGTCTCATCTGAAAAGAAAAGAAAAGAAAAGGCCTTTTAAGAAAAAGCTCCAGGGACCCAGTCACGTGGTCCTAGTACCCTTTTTAGTCACATTACCTCTAAGGGACTCTAGAGGAAATAGGACTGGAGAGGTCCCTAGCCTGAAGAGGGGCTGTGTGGTGGGATTATTCTTCCAAATCCTGGACAAAGCAACTCCATCTTGTGGCCATCTGTGTGCCAATCTGCAGCAAAACAGACTATCCTTCCCATGGGCTGCAAGGCATCCTTCCCATGGTCAGTGTTTGCTGAAACCAGAAGCTCTGATAAGAGCAAGGTTGGAACACACAGACACAGGGAACTTGAGCTTGGCTTTTGCACCCCACATTGTGTGAACCTGCAGTCACATCTGCCTCTTCAACACTAGGTGGTGGGCTGAACTAGGTTTGCGGAACTGTTGTAGCCTGGGAGCCTATAAAGTAGGACCTTGGTAGGCAGAGGCCTTGAGAGGTGGCTATGGGCTCTGTGAGCTATCTAGGCTCTAGTTAACAACCTGAATGAATTCATTTCTGTCACCAGGCTACACCTAGTGGACCCCTTGTCTGTCCTATCTGCTACTTCCTTGTTTGAGGTGAATAAAGTTCCTTTTTTCTTTCTCCCAGGGAGGTCATGCAGCAATAGGCTGGTCTCCAGGGAACTCCTCCAACAGGGAGGAGGTGCCTGGCCACTTCTCTAGGACTCTCTGAACTGGGTCAATTATAGGATCTTAGTGGTCCTCTCCTTTCCTCTCATAACCATCAGAGTCCTCAGACCTTTTCACTTCATACTAGGTGTCCAGAGGGGTCGTATGACTAAGGGTGTTTTGTCCTGTCCTGTAGCTCTGCAGTTACTGGCTCTGTAATCAGATGCTTCCTGCATGACTGCCTGTTCTCTAACCTTCTGTGGTTCTTACTGCAAGAGACCCTTAAAAACACTAACACCCCAGAGGAAGCCGATGTACCTGCACAGGTTTCCATGGCCCACAGTAGCCAAATAGAACTGGTCAGCATTGTTACCCTCTAAGGGGTCCCCAGCATCCAAGAGCAAAAGAATCTAGGGCCAGGGTCTAGGTGGATCCGAGCTTCACTCTGTCTCTTCTGCCTACTCCTCCTCAATTGCAAAGTCTCTTTTAGATTCAGCTTTTGGTTATTTTGTTGTCGTTGTACCATAAATGGTTTTAAAAGTAAGACTTTTAGGCAAAAATTATGTGATTTTAGAATTCATTATAGTATAAACCTAGATATGCAGAAACATGTTGAAAAACCATGGTCTTGGCCTGAGGAGGTCTCCCAGTGGATAAAATGCTTCCCTGGCAAGCATGAGGAACCAAGTTCAAATTCCAAGAACTCATGTAAAGCTGACACAGATGTGCGCATGTGAAATCCCAGGGCTCCTGTGTGGGTATGAGAGGTGGAGAACCATGGGCCTGCTAGTCTGCTGCATGTATTGGCAAAAAAGAACAAAAAGCAAAACAACCACCAACAACAAAAACAAACAAAAACCCAAAGCACAGAGAGATCTCAAAAAAAGGGTTAGGTGCACACCTATATCTGAGGTTGTTCTTTGACCTCCACATATACTGTGACATACATGTGCCCACATTCATATGAATATGCATAAACACACAACAGAGAGATGGGAGGGGAGGGGGAGGGGAGGGCAGAGGGGGGAGGGGAGGGCAGAGGGAGAGAGAGGGAGAGGGGAGGGGGAGGGAGATGGGGAGGCAGAGGGGAAGGGGAGGGAGAGGGAGAGGGAGAGATTTTTAAAGAAACAGAATCATCAAGGTCTCTGTGGAAATCCTGTTCTAGGCTCTGAGGGAATTTCTGAGAAACTCATGTGTCACTTACAGTCGACGACAGCAATGTTTATCCCTCTTGCCACATTCCCCATCTTCTCTCCTAATAGCCTGAAAAGTGAGTGAGAGACAGTCAAGAAGCTCCTATATAGGCAGGATGAGCAGCCCTCCCTCACCAGCAGCCCTCCCTCACCAGGTTTCTGTGCTCAGGGCTTTGATACCCCCTCTCCTTCCCGCTGTTCCTCCCACTGGTATGCAGTGGCTGGGATTGCTCCCCCAAACAAACCCACCCTTGTTCTACACAGCTGCAGGATTCAGATTCAGTTCCTGGGTGCCTGGAAACTGCATTTCATCTTACAGTCTGGATCAAAGGTCAGACAGAAAGGTTCTTCATCAAGGCTTTTGCATCGTGTTCCTCTCAGCCCCTGGGAAGCCATGCCTGGACCCACAGACTTGAGGGAGGATAGCAGCTCCATTCCAAACTGGGCTTCCTCAGGTCTCTGCTTCCTCCCACCCTAGTCTCCACTTCCTTCCCCATGTGGGACCTGCAGGCTCTATCTGCCTCACCCTTCTCTCACCCACCAAGCCCAACCAGACGGCCTCCATAATAATCACTTCCTATTGCATCACTTAGGTTTTGCTTTCCTTTTAGAAAGACTTTTATTTTTAATGGGCGTATAGTTTAATGGGCGAGTCTAGTGCTTGATGGAACAGGATACCCTGGAGCTGGAGTTAAAGGCAGTTATGAGCCGCCTAACATGAGTGCTAGGAAATGAAGTCAGATCCTCTAGAACAGTAAATGCTTTTAACCACTGAGATAGTTTACTAGCCCCCCCCCCTTTTTTTGGCTTGTCAGCTAGAGAAAATGAGATGTCAGTATCATGTATCATTTTAATTCTAGTTTTGTACCCTAAATCCAGGAAGACTAAAGTATTTCCTAGAGATGATAATTGTCATCGGAGATCATAGGAATGTGGGCATATGTCTAGAGTGTGTAAATTATATGTGCATGCATGTAGAATGTCTATATGCATACATGTGTATGCATATGTGCATAAGTATGTTATATATGTGATAGGTGTACAAGTTGTATGTGTGCATAGTTTTGCATGTATGCATGCATGCGTTGTGTCCATGTTTACACATGTGGAGGTGTGCACATGTGTATAAACATGTTTGAACATGAGTTGTATGTTTACAATTATGTGCATATTATGGACCTTTGCTGAGATTGGCACAATGAGTCAGTAATAGCATAAAAAGAATCTGAAGTTTGCCCTTCATGTCAAAGCTATAAGGTGGACACCAGGTGCTTTAATACTCTGCCTCTGGCATATTTAACTGAAGGGCTCTAGGAGCCACAGGGCCCAGTGCTTTCTGAGTATTAAAGAATAGTCCGAAAATGCCCAACGAGAGGCAAGGAAGGACTTCCATTTTCAGTAGTGAAAAACTGGGTAACCCTAATCCCACAGGAAGCAGCCTATGAGGAGGAACACATTTTTAAAAGATCTGCTGGGCTAAGAGAGAGCCTTGAAATGTAGCCAAGAACTTCCCAGGCCAACAACTGACTGAAGACAGACATTTCAGGGGTGAGTCTAACATTGATGGAAACCTTTGCCCTTTCAGGATAGAGCCCAGAGAAGTCAACAAGCACTTCTGAAAGCCATGGAGGCATTAGACGAAAGTCTGAAGGGAAATCAAAACCCTCATCAAATCTCTTGGATTTTTTATTGTGTTAAGTCACAAAGGGTTAGATAAAGAAGACAAAACCCAGAATTTGTGGCCTTCAGTCCAGATTTTATTAAACTAGGCGACCCAAAAAATGGTGACATTTAAAATGTGCTCATGTCACCCTGGTCTGCCAATAGCTTCCAGTCCCTGGGAACAGTAAATGAGAAAAGAAGACAGTGACTTCTGTGCTTCTTTTGTGACTGGGGAATGACCCCTGCTGGGTCCTGTGTTGGGAGCTTGGCCCCATCTTGTTGATGGTGTGCTCTAAGAGGCTGTGGAACTCCCTGGAGGAGGGGTAAGTGCTTTTAGAGTATGTTACTTCCCCAAAGAGCAAAGAGTAAAAGGGCAAACTTGGCTGCTGAGTGCCTCTGGCTTGCTTCTGACCATGCAATCTCTGTGTCTACCCCAGTTATTGTGAAATCACTTGTTAGGAGGCAGGGCCAGCCATGCTCTTAGCCCTCCTGAGATATGAGAGAGAGTTGTTTTCTACCACAAACCAGCCAACTTCTCATATCCATTACAGTGTGTGAAAAACTGATTAGTGTGTGTCTCTCGCTGCTATTTTTAAAGAAGTTCTCAGATGTACTGCCTGGCACACAGAAGCTTGACACACTAGGAAAGAAGTCAACAGGAGCAGGAGCAAAAGGAGCCAGCAGACAACAGTGGCAGACTCACGGGCTCCAGCCAGCCAACTGAACTCTGAGATAACAGCCCTTAATACATTCAAAATGAAAATTTCAATTGGAGGTCAAAACAAACAACAAAGAAAAGGAAGGCTCACTTGAAAAAAAAAAAGAAATGAATCTAAAAACTAAAATGACAAGATAATCTAAAAACACTAGTTGACAGTTGGTTTTAAGGACAGACTAGACACAGTAGAAGAGACCAGTGGTGACATTAAAAATAAAAAGTTCTGTCCACAGTAAAGGGTAGAGAGAGAAACGGGAGAAACGGGAAGTGGACTGTGGGCTAAGAGGAATAGAGTTCTAAGGGTCAATGACAAGCAAGAAGCGAGCTGCACTAGCAGTCACTGCTCTCTAAGTGACAGAATGTGACTGCCTCTGCAGAATCCTGCCAATATGACTTCCCACCTTGATGCCCTCTACCCTCAAGCAATGAGCCAAAATAAATCTTTCTCATTTAAGTTGCTTTTATTCAAGTATGTCATCATAGCAATGGAAAAGAAACAGGAAATTTGTCAAACACAATGAAATACACTTGTTTAAGAAGTCTCAAAATGCCAAAATAAGATAAAATAGGGCACACCAGGGTACAAATGCTGAGAGATGAGTACGAATGTCATAAAGGTAACCTGAAAGGCACTGAGCACATCAAGACCCAGATCTGAGTTTCCAACTTGTTCCCCACTAAATGCACTCTCTCTCTAGAGATGCACAGGCTTCACCCGTGAAGTTCAGTGTCACTGGCTACTGAGCAGACCCATGCTCAAAACTCATAGGGACAACTTGGAGAATCCTGTCCTTCTAAGTAACCATATTTGTAGTTAAAAAATCTTCTCACACCAGGCAGTGGTGGCACACACTTTAATCTCAGAATTTGGGAGGCAGAGACAGGCAGATTTCAGAGTTCAAGGCCAGCCTGGTCTACAGAGTGAGTTCCAGGACAGCCAGGGCTATATAGAGAAATCCTGTCTCAAAAACCAAAACCAAACCAAACCAAACTAAAACAAAACAAAACAAAATCTTCTCACAAAGAAAAGGCCAAGCCTAGGTGGCTTCACTGATGAATTACATGGAATGACCATCAAAAGAGACTATGAAAATCCAAACAAGGACACATAAAGCCCTCAGAGACACCCATCACCCTTCCCCAGAGACACCTTATCCCCAACCTGATTTTCAGCCTTGCCAGAGGTTAGGAACATACAAGTACAGCCTAAGAGGGAAGTGAAGGGACACACCCAGGCAGACACTCGTCTTCTTATACATATACTTACAGTTCGTCCTCAAAGCAGATCTTGGCATACTTGTCTCGGCCACCACCACTGAGCAGCCGGTAGGCATAAGTGTCAGGAGGACATGGGGACCAGTGGTCACATTTTTGTCTTTTAGGGGCAGGGGCTGTAAAGACAAAAACAGGATAATCACACTCCCTTCCCACAGGTGACTGCTGTGTGGCCACTGGTTGTGACAGCTCTGTTCCAGGACCAACTCCTAGTGTGGTAGAGAAATCCTTGAAATAAAGTTGGCACCTGCTTTTCGATTCTGGGAACACTTCTCAAAATGCATGCCTGATGTAACCTGATTTTGTCTTCTGGCACCAGCCTGAGATACTACATGGGCAGCGATTCCAGAGGTGTTGGGATAGCTGCCCACAGCGGCTGACTTACAACATACTGAACACTGGTGGACACAAGCTTTCAGGTCACAGTAAACATGAACTCCACTTCAGGACATGTGACCCGAGAAGATATACATTGCATGTCCACTCCACAGATGAAGACTACATGCTTCTGTCAAGCACACAGAGAACATTTGCCATACTTGACCTTTGCTAAAACACTGAGAAGCAACTAGAACATTCTCCAATGAAGAGCTTGTGTAAGGGAATAAAATAAAACACAACAAACTTAAGACTAAAATAATATCAAAATGATTATTTGGGCTTTAAAACCGACTCAGCAGTTAAGGCCATTGGCTGTTCTTACACAGAGCCAGGGTTCAATTGCCAGTGCCCACATGGTGGCTCACACATGGTGGCTCACACATGGTGGCTCACACATGGTGGCTCACACATGGTGGCTCACACATGGTGGCTCACAACCCTCTGGACTCCAGTCCCGGGGATCCAGTGCCCTCTTCTGGCCTCCACAGGCAGTGTACCCATAAGGTGCACAGACATTTATACATGCAAAATATCCACATACATAAAATTTGGTTTCATGTATTTATTAGTAGTATTGTTACTATTTTGTTTTATTTTTGTTTGTTTTGTTTTGTTTTGTTTTGTTTTGTTTTGTTTTGTTTTCTCTGTGTAGCCCTGGCTGTCCTGGAACTCACTCTGTACACCAGGCTGGTCTTGAACTCAGAGATCAGCCTGCTTCAGCCTCCCAAGTGCTGGGATTAAAGTCATGAGTCAACAGTGCCTGGTTTGTTTTGTTTGTCTCTCTATGCAGGGTCTCACTATGCAGTTCTGGCTGTCTTAGAACTCACTACGTAGACCCAGCTGGCTTCAAACTTACAGAGATCCACCTGACTCTGCCACTTGTATTAAAGGCATTTGCTGGGATTAAGGGCATTTGCCACCACACTGGCTAAAAAAATATTTTTTTTAATCTTTTAAAATGTTTTGAATGTTTTCTTACAACATAATAGTGAAACGAGAAATGAGGAGTTTTGGAAGCTAAACAACAGGGTCCTGAGCAATCAGTGTATCAAAGAAGAAAATCTAAACTACCTTAATAGGACACTGTGCTCCCTGTAGCTCAGTACTTGGGAGGCTGGGGCAAGAGAATTGTTGTGAGTTCAAAACCAGCCTGTGCTATTTGCCACAATCCATGAATCACTGTCCTGAAACAATGAAAACAAAACACAACAAAAAAGATGCTAAGATGTATGGAATTCAGCAAAAATAACTTTAAAAGAGATGTTTACAGCAATAAACACCCACATCAGGGAAGAGAAAGGCTCTCCAGTAAACACCCTGATATGCTCCTCAGGGAACCATAACAAGGAGAAAAACTAAGCCTGTGAAAGAAGAAGGAGAGAAATAGGGTGGATCTGAGCAGAAATGGGTAAGATAGAGAAGATCGAAAACAGAAAAGATCAGTGGAGCAAAGACTCATTTTATGAAAAAAAAAATCAGCAAAAATTAGCATGCTAGATTTTAAAGAGAGAAAGAGAAAGAAGATTCAAATAAAATCATGTGTGGAAGAAGAGAAATTTTGATGCCACAGGAGAGAGGCACACCACAAGAGGGTGACCCTAGAAGAACTCCGTACATTCTTACAACCTACCAAGACCAAATCATGAAGAAATAAAAACCAAACAGACCAGTTACAAACAGAGGCTGAACCAATAATAAAACGTCCATCATTAAACAAAAGCCTAGGACCAGAGGCTGTACTGCTGACTTCTATCAGACATTTAAAGTTCCTTCTCAAACTCCCCAAAAATCTTTAAGGCGTTGGGGGGGTAGGAAGGGGCGGGGGGGGGCAGGGGTGCTTCCAAACCATTACAGGAGACCAGAATTACCCTGATACCAAAGGACACTGCCAGGAAATAAAATGACAAGCCAAGTTCTCTGATGACCATAGACATAAAAGTCCTCCACAGAACACCAATCCATCAAACACAGGAGCTCTCTGATCGGTCACTCATCAAAAAGAGGCTCTTTCCCAGTTTACAAGGATGATTCACCACGCACAGATCAATAAATATGAGGCCATGCAGACAGAATGAAAGGGAAAGGCCTCATTGGTGTATCAGTAGATAAGGAGAGGAGAAAACATGATAAAATTAACATCTTTATGATAAAACTCTCAATAGATTAAATATAGAACTCAACACAGTGAGCCCACATGGTGGTTTGTTTTTTTTCTCTCTCTCTCTAAAACGAGGAACAAGTTAAGGGCACTCCGTGTCACCACATCTATTAAATGTACTGCTGGAAACCTCTGCCACAGCCGTTATGCAAGAAAGAGAAGTGAAACATCAAAATAAGTCAGGAACTTATGTAGTCTGCTTGCTATGGTCATGATCTGAGAGAGAGAGAGACAGAGAGAGACAGAGAGACAGAGAGAGACAGAGAGACAGGGAGAGAGAGAGAGACAGAGAGAGAGACAGAGAGAGAGAGACAGAGAGAGAGACAGAGAGAGAGAGAGAGAGAGACAGAGAGACAGAGAGACAGAGAGACAGAGAGACAGAGACAACTGACTCCATGAAAAACTGTTAAAACTGACAAATTCAGTAAAGATTCAGGACACAAAATAACACACACACACATCAGTATAAATATTTCTGTACTCTAACAATAAACTATCCAAAAGAAAGTGAGGTAAGTGTCTAATTTATAATTGCTACAAAACAGTAAAATACTTGAGAATAAACTCGACCAAGAAAGTAGATGTCCTGTATGTTGTAAACCACAAAACAGAAACAGAAGACAGCACGGCCTGTTTATGAACTAGAATAATTAATATTCTGAAAACATTCATACTTTCCAAAGTGATTCACAGATTCAAAATCCCAATGTTGTTCTTCACAGAGATAGAAAGTTTGCATGGCTGGCAAGATGGCTCAGTGGGCATGGGTTCAAACACACTGAGCTGGACTTAGTCCCTGAACCACATGGTAGAGTTCACATGGTGAGTTCACATGGTAGAAGGTGAGAGCTTACACTGCCTTTATCTGTTCTCTGACCCTCACACACGTTTCCACACACAGGTACATACACACACACAATCAATCAGTCAGTGAAATGAAAGAAAAACAGAAATTGCGTGTGGGATCACAAAAGATCCTCAACAGTCAAAGGAATCTAGAAGTGGTATGTAAATTGAATTACAAAGCTTTAACAATCTAAATAACAGGTGACTGTCATTAAACCAACATACCAACCAATGGAACAGGAGAGAAAGAGCCCAGAAATAAACCCCCACGTTCAGTCTTCACGTTTTGGAAGAGAAGCATTGACCAAAGAGAGGAAAAAGAGACTGCTTAATAAATGGTGTTACAAACTAGAGATTCTCATACAGACGGATCAAGCCAAGTTATCTCACACCTTACACAACAGCAGGAACTCAAACTGGACCAAAGACTGGAGTGTAAAAGCAGAAACTGTAAAACACAGGGAAGCACACAGTCCTGTTGGCCAGGCAATGACTTTTCTGAAATGACTTCAAAGGCACAGAAGCAAAGGCAACAGCAGAGAACATAGCGCAGAGAAAGAAACGACCGACAAAATAGGAAATAACTCTGGGACAGTTATCAGATACAGGACTAAAGTCCAAAGTACATAAGGAACCCCAGAAGCTAAATGACAAGTGATTTTTTAAACCTGATTTAAAAACAGGCAAAGGGATGGGCAGGATGGCAGCCAGACCCCATTTCTGCATTTTTCCTGCATCTTCCCGGATATTTCTGAAGGTGATGAAGTCAGTGTGCTAATGAGAACCTGCACTCCTGCGCCCATACGTGTATACAATAGCACATTACTCAGCCTTAAAAAGGAAGACACGTCCTGTCACTTTGGGAAAACTAGAGGACATCCTGCTAAATGAAATAAGTCAAGAATAGAAAGTCAAATAACGCAAAACCTCCCTCACATGTGTACTCTAAAGACGTGAAGAAACACAAACAGTGGAACGTGGTGACCAGAGCCTGAGAAAATTAAAGCGTACAAGAGGAAGATTGGAACAGCCCTGTCAGAGAATACATGTGAGTCAGATCTGAGCCTGTTAGATCAACAGATTTGCCATGAAATGTAGTTAATATAACTTGTTGTGTTATACACTTGAAAATTGCTACAGGGCCACCTGCATGTATTCTTAACATGTAAAGCAACTTCCAGCCAAAAGATTTGCTGTTGAGCTCCATTTAGCCATCCCACAGTGTTTGCACAGATCAAAATGTCACCCTGTATCCAAATGTACATACTGATTATACATTTGAATTTTAAAAGTAATGAGTCTATTGAAAAGAGCTATTCAGGCCAGTGAGAGAGATCTATAGAGAAAAGAAACTTGGTGCCAAGTCTGAGGACTTGACCTTGACTTCCCAGAATCAACTCTCAAAAGTTGCCCTATGACCACAACACCTCTGCCACAGCAAATGCACATGTGTGCATAAGAGTAATACTTCTTTTTAAAAGATAGGAACTGTGATGGGGTGAATAGTACTGTCCTGGGAAGAACCTTCTGGAACAAGTCAAGGTTCAGAGAGCTGTCATGATGCTGAGTGTGCTACTGTGTCCCTGATGGACATGGCCCTAGACATGGCTTCTTGGTGACCACTGTCCTCTGTACCCAAAAGGAGAAAACGGCAAAGATGGCTTCCTCTCCTTCAGGCTCCTCTTTGCCTGTGCTCTGTCTCTTCAGCCCAGTCTCCCTCACACCAGCATC